AGACAGCCATAAAGCGAGGAAAGCAATGTGCACTTGGTTAGAAACTTCGACAGAGTCCTTGTCATGGTAGTATGCGATATAGGTGGTGAAATCAGCTTTGGTGGTGTTGAAACCAATAGAGTATTCAACCATAAAGTTTGGGTCATAAGTTTCTTCAATTGATTTGAGCCCAGTGATGGCAGTAATGTCGAAGGTGTCATCATTCCACAAGGAACGTGGAAGTTATTATGGGTGTTATCCCATAAGTATAGGGAAGCAACTAACATGGATTAGCAATAGCCAAGTATAACTTTCGACAGCTGAATCATGTCGAATATACCCATATCTTTCCAGATTTGGGATTTTTTTTCTTTTCTATCTTCTTTAGCTAAGCTAAGTAGTTTGAGGGATCCTTAAATAAGGGGCTTGATCGAAACACCCTAAAATTATTAATATAGTCTAGACTAATGGATTTTTCAGGGGCCTCAGTCGAAGGCGAGCCTTGGTTATCAATTTTTAATTTTTTATCAGCCTCGACATCTTCACTAGCCCTAGGTTTTTTCCCATTAGCTATGGGTTTATAGCGATGGTATGTGGAGAAATATTCCATGAGTCTATTAGGGTTAACAAAAGGTTTTGATGGAGGACCTAACATAGTGTGTGTTTTGCCAATAACAGAAATGGGAATTAATACCTGAGAATGGTAGATTCTTCTCTTTTCTTCTTCAAGTGGAGGCTTGGGTATGTATTATTGGTTACCCACAGCTCTTGGGTCCAAGATCTTAATAACTAGAGCAAGTTTAGTTGATTTCTTGGATTCTTTTGTGATCTTGGTTGAGTCTTTGGAAGCTTTTATAGAAGATGCCATTGATGCAACAAAGATTGAAGAAAGAACGGTTTGTGTATGTGAAAATTGAAGAGTTCAGGAAGAAGCTTGTTCTTATTAAGAAAGATTCAGAAGATGGAAAAAGTTGGAAAATGTTAGTGTTCACTATTTATAGGTCAATGAAGTGAATCGGTTCACTTCAAGCATTAATGAGTGAATAGATAGTGGGACACATGTCAGTCGGAGAGCAAGTGATGAGACAATGGCAATGGAGCTAGCCCACGATCTCATAGGAACTAGGAGTGTGATGATTGCAAAAAGTTTTGCGCATGGTTTTGAGAAGACGTATGAGAAAAGGTGTCATGATGACTATGATGTCATAGCAGATAAAAAAATTGTGGCTTCAAAAGAGACTTTCAAAAAATGTTTTTTTCTCCATTTAGTCAAAAACGACATTTTTAGGGGGCAATTTGTTAGCTGGAAGTTTTGACGCCAGAGTTTGATTGAGTATGCTAAGCCAAAAAAATATTCTTAAGGCGATGCTTTGAATTCGACAGAGGTATCATTGAATATCTTGGTCGAAGAGACCCTTAGTAAAGAAGGGTATGCTGGGTTAAGACTTAGAAATATTGCTGAGGTTAAACTACAACTTCGACGGAAGCAATACTGAGGTTGCGTTCGACGAAGATTTTAAATTTTGAATAAGGATGATAACTGTCTTTTGTCATCATCCGTTTTTCAAAGGTGACGTGTGTATAGTTGTGGGCTTGAAGCGAATTGAAGACATGCAAGCGAAATATGTCATTTTCTGGAGAAGAGGTCGTTGATATCTGTTATTTTTGACATAGTATAAATATGATTAGTGCGTAGGATTTCTGTGTGTTCAAGCATTGTATAAATACTCACAAATTACTCAAAATATCTAAGTGTTATTGAGAAATGAGTTTGTTGAGAATGTACGTCTAAAACACCATATTTTCATTTTAATGGAAGTTATTTTCAGTTTCATCAATTACCTTTCATTACAATTTACTTTGAAGTTCTTTATTGTAATTCTTTTACAAAATTTTCAATTTACTTTTAAACTTTAAACAACATTAACAATAGCACGTGTTATAGGATTCACGGGTTAATCCTGTAAAGTAAACCATTTTTGAAGACCAGCGGTTGTTTAACAATTTTCACGGCAAACACTAAGCATACTCCACTCTCTAATGATTTCCCATTTAAAGTTTTAGTCTTCTAGTATAGTTTGTGATAAATTACAAGATGTTCAGTACAATCACTATCTTAATGCTGAAAATATAAAATCTTCGATCTAGACCCTTGTTGAATTGTACACATTATCCAAAATCGAATCCTTGTGGAATCTTTACTCGAAATTGTCTTGAATCTTCCAACACCAAGAATGTTGCTCCAAAGATTAGGAAGAACGTTCACTTTACTTATATGTTTCCACACAACACTACCTAAGTAATTTTGGAGAGAAAACTCTTCTTCTTTTCCGCTGAACTTGTCAAAATCAAACACAACAACTCACACTTTGCAAACCTTTGAAAACTTCAAGAAATCTTTAAAGAAACGTCAATCGCAATAACATAATCTCCTTAAAAATCACACATCTTAAAAGATGAGATTTAGATCTTCATGAAAATGAAAGAATTTGTTTGCAAAACACTCAAAATAGATTCAAAATCCTTTTTAAAAATGAGAGAACAAGTGCATTGTAAAATTTCAAATCAATAATGAAAGTGTATGTTTTTCAACATTTTGAAAGGTTTTGACTAAAGAAGCTTTTATTTGTGATGAAAATCTAGCACAAAAATGAGTGAAAATAGTGTTTGATTTGAGTCATAATCAATGGGCATGATTCAAGTCAAAGGATCATGTGATTTGAATCAAAAGTCAAGAACATACGATAAGTCATTTGTGTGATTGAATCACACACTTTGTGATTTAAATCACATTATTTGAGTCATGAAAGAATGTGATTAGAATCAGTTACAGAGGCAAAACCAAAGAAATACAATCCTATCCAATTCGAATCAGGCAGACTGTGATTTCAATCAAGTATTTGTGATTGTAATCATGGATGTTGTGATTCAACTCATGGCAACATGAAAGCAATTTCTGGACTTTCTATTATCCTGATTTGAGTCATGTAATAGTGTGATTCAAGTGATACTTCGAAAAACTCATTTTTTACAAAATATAAAGTGTTTTTAAGATTCTAACATTGTTATGACTTGAATCATTCTCAAATATAGTTTTTGATCCAAAAACTCAATGATTTTACTTGAGGCGTATTACTTAAAAACATTGTCATGACTTGAATCATTGTCAAATATAATTTTGTAAATAAGCTAAATAAATTTTTTTGATGATTAATCTAGACTTGGTTTTTTTTTAGTGATTGTCTTCTTCACTCTTTATTTTATTTAAATAGCATTCTTCTTTTGGATTTCATTAATAGAAAACACATTAACTTAAAAATAGAGTTTCACAACCATTGACACATCATGAATTATTGTCTATACTACTTGATTTCACCTATGACAGAGCAATACCAAAGCTAGCCTAGCCTAAGAAACACACCAATTCCAATTTCTTGAGTTTGAGACATTCATAATCCATATTCAAACGAATTTTCATATGTATTTTCCAAACAACTTTGTTCCTTTATTATCAATATTTTCTTATCCAGATTTATTAACTCTTCATATATATTTTCTCATGCCACTTTCAAAATACAAATTTTCTGTATTCATCAGCCTCTTGTGCCATTTCTTCAAGACTCCTATCTTTCCTCTCTATATCCACCTCTAGCTTCTTTTTCAACTCCTTCTCCTTTTCATTTATCTGCATCATTCACACACATAAACATTAACATCAAATAAAACTCACAAAACAACCACATAAAACTAATTTCAATCCTCTACCTCATCATAAATATCATCATTGTTTTCATAATCACCATTTTTCCTAGGAAGAATATGAATATGAACATGAGGAACTGATTGCCCAGCATAAGGTCCATCCTATGGTTCAAAAAGATTGCATTCGTCATAAAATAAACACACATGTCATCAACTCTTTCTAAATTTTCTTACTTGGATACAAAATGTAAGTGACGATGCATTATGATAGCTCTCAAGTTGTCTACCGAGTTTATGCGCTATACGCCATAACTCAATATTCTCGTCATCAGTAAGATCGGCAACGCGCTTCACTTCGCGCTTCGGACAGATAAGAACATGTAGCTAACTACTGTTAACTCAAACAAATTCAGTTTCACAGAAGACAATTTATAGTAATATTTTATGCAAAATATAAACATTAAAAAGGATATGACCTGCAAAAGAAAAAGAAAGCGATTTATAAAGATATGAAATCATAGAGGAGAAAGATGAAAGAGGTGCTGGAGCAAGATACATACCAGTGACGGCAGGACGTAGGTTGACAAAGGCAAAAGAAAGATCTGTTGTATGAAAGACTGAACTATGGTGGATCTTGTAAGGTCCAAAATCATAGAATTCAATAGCCATATCTATGTATTTACCATAAAACTAACATTATTTTTCACATGGATGAAGAAAATAACATCTGATGATTACAAAGTTGATGTTAGTTTTTATTTACCTTGATGGAGTGAGTAATATAGAGGAGATATACAAGAATAACCAGTAGCTAGATGATTTAAAAGTTGCATTTTGGGTTGGAACTTATAGAGATTTCTTGTTTGACCATTCTTTTGAAAAGAGTAATTTCTTCCTACTTACTCCATTGTCCTATCTTATGAATGAGATGATTAAAAATTAAGAAGTCTTGTTAATAATCTTTAAAAATGCATGAGTCAAATTACACGAGTTGTTAATTAGGTCAACATTGAATAATTGTTTATAGTCTTGTTATTATATTTGAGGTTGTTTACCTTCTACTTAAAATAACTCTGAAAATCTGACAACTAATCCCACAGTAATACTATTATGAAATTGGAAATTGGAAGATTTTACTTTCTTGTAATGGAAGACACTTGACTTTATAAGTTAAGTACAACTCAAAGTTCTAATTCTAAAGTAATGGGATAAACTTTTCTGTGACCACAAGGAAGTGTATCAAATTGTCTATACTGAGAAAATCAGAAGTTCGAACTAAGCAGACAGTATTCTAATTCTATTGCTATCTATCTATAATGTTACAGGAAAAGTTTTCTGTATTCCTCGGCCTCTTGTGACATCTCTTCTGCGCTCCTGTCTTTCCTCTCCTTGTCCAAATCGAGTTTTTCCTTCAATTCCTTCTCCTTTTCGTCCATCTGAATCAGTTTCAAAACGGCGAATAGAGAATAAGTAATAAGATAGACCCAGATTAGAATCAACAGCATGGCATTTGAGAAAACATATATCTTACTGCATCGTATATCTCGTCGTTCTTCTCAAAATCACCACCTTTCCGCGGGACAACATGAATGTGAACATGTGGTACTGTCTGTCCTGCTTGGGGCCCATCCTGAAGTGCAGAAAAATCAGTAAGCCAAAGTGAGTGAAAATGTTAAAGCGGAATGAATTTAACGCAAAACAGTTGGTGAAAGAAATGGTTAAATGAAGATATTTATCTTCAATCTTACTTGGATGGCCAAAGTGAGTGATGAAGCCTTGTGGTAGCTCTCAAGCTGACTGCCGACTTTTTGTGCAGTGAGCCATAAATCAGAAGTCTCCTCGGCAGTTAGATCAAGAAAACGCTTAACTTCGCGCTTTGGACAGATAAGCACATGTGAAAACTGTTAAGGCGAACACTTCATATTCCTCTAGATTCATGCACGAACACAACACACGCGCGGACACCAGACACAACACCAACACGTTGACACCGATAATAATTAAAAATATATATAAAAATTAAACATAATCACAAGTGTCGGTGTCGGCGTTATAGATATAAGTCTCTTTAGCACTTAACTGTGAACAGAAAACAAATAAACTTATACGCACAACAAATATATCTGCAATTCCAACATCTTCGAATCAATATATACAAGACACAAACAGATCCTTTAGACATATCAAACAATCAACTACATGCATATATCCCATCAAGTATCATCAACTGAGTATCCTCTAAGACAGGTGTCCCTTGAAGAAAGTTCTAGATCCTCAAATCCTAGGTGTCTCCTATAAAGGCAAATCAGTCTCAGGTACACGCAATTCTAACCTAAAAACCTCACACTTACTGGTGCCACTGACTTGTTAGAAAATTGAGTATGATAATCCTGGATATCTTCAAGGAATCGTGTTCGTACACTTTCCGAACAAAGTATTTCGAACCTATTATTTGTCTGGGTTCACGAAATCTTTGTGGGGATAATTCTTGAAGAACAATCTGCTTCTGGCAATAGAGAACAGATCAGGAATGTAGAGAGAAAGTATGGTTTTCGTCATTTTGTGTGTTCAAACTGAGGCCAAATGACTCCTTATATAGGAGATTAATAACAGAAACTGAAACGACACAACTTTTCAAAAATTTCGAACGGGTTCAACTGTTCAGAAAATTTCAAACGGGTTCAACTGTTCAGAAAACTTTCAGAAAAATTTTGCTCGGGGAAGCCGTGCGCTGACCTGGCAGCGGGACCCCAGCCAGGGGCTCTGCCTCTTGGAACCCCACGGGACGCTGCCCCGCACCCCGCCAGAGGCTTCGCCCCTTGGAACCCCTTTTCAATTATTCGCATTCAATTGCACGTTGACTCGACGAGCGTGCACTCCGCACTACCCTAACTCGTTTCCAAGCTTAACGCATAATTGCATCGGCCTACAATAAATCACATTATTACTAAAATACATTGATGATACTAAAATCACCAACATGACTTGGGCATCAAAGTGTTTGTTTGCACGTACACCCCCACCGCCGGACCAGAGCAAGAGACCTTCCCAGAATTCTCCGGTTGTCAGCAGCCCGTACAAAAGAAGATCCATCACCGGACCATTTGAGAAGATCCATCAAGGGATCAGAATATAATTGATAAAAAGTTGCATTTGCATTAGTATTGAAAATTTTATACTAAAATTTACACCAAAATTAGAGCTAATTACTATTTTTCCAAAAACAACAATGACACAATATGAAATTTCACCCAATGAAAAGATTGATGCAGTCTTAAACTATAAAAACTACATCAAAAATACCACACCAGCAACACCAGCAGTGTATTATTGAAACCCATAAAAAAGGATATGACCTGCAAAGATACAAAAACCAATGAAATATCAAAATGGGTCATTTTTAATTTCATAAAAGACAACAATTTCATAATGAATACAATAAAAAGACACATTTTTTTTATTGTTGTAGAGGAGCAGCCAAACCTAGTTAACTGTCTTTGAGTAAATCAAAGAGTTAAAAGGAAGAAAAAAAAAGTTAGATTTGAATAAGCAATGAGATAGATTGTTACCAGGGAGAAGAGGACGCAGGTTAACCATTGCATAAGAGAGATTAGTTGAGTAGAAGACTTCAGTGTGGTGTATCTTGTAGGGTCCAAAAGTGTAGTCTTGTGAAGCCATCTGCATAGAGAGAAAAAAGGGAATGAATGGAGAACTATGAAGCAGAGAGAGAGTGGTGAATCGATAGTTACCTTGATTGAGGAAGAGCAGATTGGTCGGATTGGTTGGGATGTTGAGGAATGTCGAAGTAACAAACGGGGAATCTGGCCAAGGGTGTGCAGTAACATTTGTACTTCACAAACTCGGAGGGTGTGCAGTAACTAACTTCAACAAAAAAACACACTAAATCCTTTTTCCTTTCAAATTCCAATTTAGTCCTTTGATCGTACAAGTAGATAGACTAACTTTTATTTTTATTTTTAAGGGTTAATAAGACTTTTGATCTCTATCGCCGCGTAAGGGAACTGACTCATGTAATGTACTGATGTGGCAGCTTTATAAACTAGGGTTTGGGCCGTCTCTATACACAAATCTGTTTGGATATTAATATTGACATATGTCCCCGTATTCTATAAGGATACAAGTGTTCGTACTCGTTATCTTAATTTCTAATAAAAATAAATACTTTAAGTATAAAATATTATAATGTTTTAATTTAAAAATATTTAAAAATTTTATTGTTGAATTATGAAATAAATGATCACTTATTTAAATAAGTAATAATTTAAAATTGATATTTTTTTAAAAAAAATTTATAAATATTTATTTTTATATGATAAAATAAATTAAAATATATCAATATATATACTATGCAAGTATGGGGCGGAGTGGGTATTAAGCTGCTTATTTCTGCATTCATCTCTGCTTATTTAATTGGATAATTATCTGAATCTGTATCCGTACCTATTTTTACGGGTTTTTACCCTACATATTATGAGTAATTTTGTGGATATCCATTGGAGATGGGTCAAATTATCATCCCTAAGCACACTGAATAACTTTTTTTATTTGATCATGTCACTTATTAACTAGCGGAATATCCGTGCGGTAACTTTGTTTACATTTAAAAGTTGAATAAAAAAATAGAATTAATAAAAATTAATAGATATAAAAAATATAATTTATATTAAAAAAAAAGAATCAATAATCACGGACACCGGTTGATATTTTTTATAAAAATATTTATCTAATAATTTATAAAAATATTTTGATGAATAAAAAACTTGTTTCCAATTATAAAAATATTTGGTTAATTCATACACTTTTTCATATATAAAATTAAAGTTCAATCTAAAATATATAAAATTTTTTCGTGTTTAAAAATATTTGTCTCATATGATTTTCTATATTATCTATGACTTCATTTTCCCGTTTCTATATTATTAAAAATATCTCTTCTGTGGGATACCCATAAGATCATAATTAAGTAACAAAAATTTAAATAATTAAAAAATTTTGAAAATAAATTTGAAAGTTTGAGTATTGATATTTGACTCATTTCTAGAATAAAATATTAAATTTATAAATATTTAATACATAATAAAATGTATTTAATGGTATTTATACTATGGATGTGAACGATACATTTTTAAAAAATTATAAAAAAAATTTAGTTTAATCCATTTTAAAAAATAATCAAACTCAAAAATCAATTATACACCTTTAAAATTATTTTAAAATAAAAATTAAATATGTATTTATCAACAATTACATATTTTTATACCATGTCTCACATACTAAATTTAAACTGAGTTTGATAGTCTAGCGGGATACTCGTGCCTTTGCACGGGTACCCGTTGATGACGTGCATTTATTTACATTTAAAATTTAAAAAAATATAATTAATAAAAATCAGTAAATATAAATTTAAAAAAATTATATTAAAAATATATAGAATCAATATCCGCAGACACCGGTTGGTAACGTGTATTTATTTAAAAAATAATAATAATAAAAAAGAAGACAATTATTTTACCAAATTATTTTTTAATTTAGAGAAAAAAGAACATATTTTATTTATATTTTCAGCATAAATATAGTTTTTCTATATATATATAAATATTTGGATCAACCGTATATTTTTTGGTATATAAATATTAGTTTTGTTTTGATAATTTTTATAAAAATATTTATGCAATGATTTATTTTTATAAATATTAAATAATAATATAGTATTTATAAATATTATTATTGTATAAATAAATATTAGTAACATAAACAAATACATATTGTCCGTGTTCGAATTCACATATTATTTTAAATATATTTACTTTTATTTTCTTTAATTATACAAAAACTGAAATAACTCATGCGTTCACATAGATTCTGATTTAGATATTCGTGCATTCTGATGTGTTACGCGCATTTGTTCACGTACTTTTAAAAATTAATCGATACTTTTTTTATTTTTAATATCTAAATGAATAGTTCTGTTTCATATTAATGAATTTTAAAATTTATTAATGTTGTATTAAATAAATTATTATTTAGTTTTAAAAATATAAGTAATACATCTATTAATTATCTTATCATAAGTTTTCTAATATTTTTTAAATACTTTCAAAAAATGTTCGATAAATTTATATTTTTCAATATTTAAATTAGCATCCTATTTCATATAAAAAATATATTTAGTTTGCACCATTTATAGCATAATTATTTGGAAAAATATTTGGACTTTCCCACATATAGATTATTTTAGTTTTTATTTTTGTTTTAGACTAAAATAATAATATAAATAATTAAAATCAAAATTAAAATTTAAAACTAATAATTATAAATTACTGAAACAACATATTTAGAATTGACTGATAAATTTTAAAAAATAATAGGATATTCTTTTATCAATGATAACTATAATATTTTTGGCTAATTTTAAAAAATGATTAATAAATTTCTATTTTCTTACAAATTATTTTTTTTAAAAGGTATTTTAACTTAAGTCAAAAACAACTTTAAATATTTGTCTTTTTTTAAAAAGTCAACTGGTTGTACATATATTTAAAAATAATTTTGAAAAAAGTATAATAGTATCTTAAATGAAAACTATTTTTCTTTTATAGCGATCTATTAATTTTGCATTCATTTCTAAACTCTCTCTTTCTTCCAGATTTTGAAAAAATTATATTTAAAATTATAAATATTCTTTTAAAGTTATAAATAAATAATATTGTAATATTGTTTTAATATCTTTTATTGTGTATAGCACATACTTTTTTATTTTATTTCATTTTATAGCAAAATAGCACTTTTCTATTAAATATATATTAAACAAAGTATATATAATGTATTTTTATGTAAATATCAAGTTTGATATGAGTAGACATTTATTTGACCAAATCTTTCAAAATAATAGTAAAAAAATATTCTAGGTGAAAAGACAATAAAAATGCAAAATTAAAGGTCTGCATAACATTAATTGAAATTTAGAAGATATGGTGTTAGCATGGGAAATAGGAATAAATAGTTAATTTTTTTTAAAGTTTAATAGAAAAAGAAGAAAAACAGAAGAGAGTTGTGTAGCATTTAGTTGGCCAGAACTTCTTTACAGCATAAAATAGATTTGTCTAAAAGTAACAGAATAATAATTATTAGTTTGGTTAGTATTACAAAAATAAAAATCATTTGAATGATCCAAAATATTTTACACGAATTAAGATAATTTCATGACAAATACTGAATAGAAATACTTCAGAGAAAAGATATTATTTCACATAAAAGGTTGCAACTTTATTATTATCTGCTATGTTATTTCTTCAAGTTCAAGTCCGAATTTGAGCAATGCATCAGCATATGCATCTTGGACATTGAGATTCCCATCAATAATTACCATAACATTAAATAATAACACTAATCATATTCAAATCAATAATCATATACGAACGTAGAACTTAAAAGTGAGAAAAAAACACTCTTAAGTTTGATTATTCAAAAAATAAAACACATGCATAAAGAATCTAGAAATGACAACTAGTTGATATATTCACCAAGCCTCTAACGAAAGTCAGATTGGACGAGGTGAAGAGAAATATTGGTATAAGAAGCCTTAAAAACATGAATTATGAGTTGTGTTAGAAGATATAATTTAGTGTTTTAGAAAAGTTATATTCGACAAAGTTGTGTTAGTCGAATACAACATGTGCCGAAGTATGTAAAGTAAGTATTTGACATAGTTTGAATAATGCAGTTTGTAAATTGTGTTTTGTTGCCAATATATACATGTTACATTGTAAATCAAGTGTCTAACTTCACTATATTAAAATTCCCTCTTCACATATAATTTCTCTCTCTCTCTCTCTCTCTCTCTCTCTCTCTCTCTCTCTCTCTCTCTCTCTCTCTCTCTCTCTCTCTCTCTCTCTCTCTCTCTCTCCTTGAAACCATAACTTTTCTAACAATAACTACTGAAGAAGAACAAGATGGCGGGCTGCAAAAGCGTTGAAAGAACTTGCATCATTGGTCAAAGAACTTCATTCATTCAATAAAATTGAAAGAGAGTATGTTGCATTCCTCGTATTTTTTACATTTTTAGTTTCATGTAGTAGGTAACTTAAGTGTTGCGTGTCTATCTAAAATAAAGAATGAGTCTCTTCAATGTCATTTTTTTTATCACGGGGAAGAGTTTTCTAGAGACAAGAACATTTTTATATAGGTGGCGTTCAAACCATTGTGTATGATTAAGATTTTGAAAACCGGGGTGTTTCTAAGGTTTTTAACTTGGTGTTGGGTTGGGGATATGTGAGAAACACCTTTAGAGTTTGGTTCAAATTATAAGGGATAGATGAAGCTTTGTTGAAGTTAACATGAACCATCGTGTTGTAGATGTTGTGATGCATGCTTTTGACAACAAGAATGAAAGACATTAATATGTTAAGCATAATGTGAATGACATCAATATAAAAGTAGTTAAGGCATATGTGTAGATTTTAACACACTCGATTTATACTTTTATCAAGTTTATGTAGTTCTCTAATATTTATTTGTTGTGCTTATGATTTTTGTGTTGCAACCCATCACGCCTCTTGGACCTATCAACTTCATTTCTCCTTGTGATCGTAAACATCGAGAGGTGGAAATTTTGTCCTAATTAACACATTTTTTAGGTAGTGAGTTCTTGTGTTTAGATTTATCATTACGAAAGTTGTGATTCTAATAGTTTTTTTTCGTCTGACGATGATTTTGGTGGGATCTAGATTTTTGTTACTTCTATGACAATTGAATCTTTATGTTTGAGTAATCTTTCCCGTGCCTCAAGTGGATGCCAATGTTATTATTTAAACTTATAAGGTGG